AATATAATTATAATCATTAAATTCTAACAGAATACTTAATTATTATCTTTATAAAATTTATAATATCAAACCAAAAATAAATTGTTTTATTATTAAACTTAAATTAAATTATATATATAAAAAAAATATTCTATATTATAAATCATTTGACAAAAACTCTCAAAATGCACTTTTTATGCGTAAAATACTGTTTATTAATGCATATTACTTAAAATTCAAGATTACAAGTAAATTGTGCGTAGGTACAACTTATTAAAGCTCCATATCTGAATTCGTATAACTAACTGCAGATAAACACAATCAAATACAGGATAAACATCTAATTTTAAATATAAAAAATCTAAAATATAATTAGGATAATCATTGAGTTCTAACAGAATCTTAATTATTATCTTTATAAAATGTTATATTATTAAAAAAAAATCATTATTAAACCAAAAATAAATTATTTCATTATTAAAGCAAAAATAAATTATTTCATTATTAAAGCAAAAATAAATTATTTCATTATTAAACTTAAATTAAATTATTAAAAAAAACAATCTATACTATATTATAAAGCATTTGGCAAAAACTCTTAAAAACTATTTTTTATGCGTAAAACATTGTTTATTAATGCATATTACTTACAACTCAAGATTACATGTAGATTGTGCGTAAGTACAACTTATTAAAGCTCCATATCTAAATTCGTGTAACTAATTGCAGATAAACATAATCAAATACAAGATAAACATTTTATTTTAAATATAAAAAATCTAAAATATAATTAGGATAATCATTGAGTTNGATAATCATTGAGTTTTAAGAGAATACTTAATTATTATCTTTATAAAATGTTATATTATTAAACCAAAAATAAATTATTTCATTATTAAATTTAAATTAAGTTATAATAAAAAAAAATAAAGAAATTACATAAAAAATAGAACTTTTAAATAGTTGATTTGATATTAACATTGATATATATTTTTTCAAACTTTTATGACATCTTCAAAATTATATTTTATCCAAAAATAAAATCATTATTGCTTTCCTAAAAACACATAAAATCGTATTATAACATCGACAGAGATAAAGAATAAAATAGAACATTAAAATCGAGATGTATCTCGCTGCATTGCGTGAGTACCCTTCTAGTATATTACAATTATGTTTTAATCATTTATTAGGATATCAAAAATAAGCTCTTTAACCGGATCTTAACCATAAATGAGAATTTGAATAAGCTCTAAAATTCCCAGTTGTAATTAGTTTTATCGGACTAGAAAAACATGAACTCAAAGCCATAAGTTTGCAAGCTTGGCTTATTAAGGCTTTGATTGCAAGATTTCAAGAAATCAATTTTGGAAACCTTATTGAGACTGAATGAATTCAATTGTTACTTTATCAAAGTTCCAAGACAATTACGTATCCAAGTCTTTGAATAACAATCTCCGCAAGAATTCCAACTAAACTACAAGGGTTGTGGCATAGTGGTTGAGGGCCCTAGGTTTTTTGGTGTAATGGTTGAGGCCCTTAAAGCTGTGGACAAGCGTATGTCGGATGACGTACCTTCTTGCAAATCCTGCAAAGCCTTCACTTGTGTTTTTCCCGATGACCAACTATTTTACGAGGTTAGTATGATCATAAAGTTCACTCTCTAAATCAGAAACATTTATCTTGTTCAATCTTTGTGGTTCTCTTTGCATGTCAGATTGGGTGCTAAACTACTGAGAATTTTCAGCTATCGTGGAGATCAAAGCCATAACCTGTGTTGGCGTTTCGATGAAAACTGCTCCACCAATTGTTGTGTTTATCATCTTACACTCCATCGGTAGGAGACGCTCATAAAAATACTATAAAAGCAATTGTTCGAAATTTCCATGTTGTGGACAACTCATACAGAGATGTTTGAATCTCTCCCAATTGTCATGGAGAGTTCCGACATCTCCTTGTTTGACCGTAGATTTCTCTATGGGGGCTAGCGGTTCAGGAAGTTAGTAAAAATTATCAAGAAAACGCCTTGCCATCGCGTTCCACGTTGCTACTGAATCAGGGTGTAGCAAGTAGAGTCATTCCTTAGCACAACCCTTTAAAAAAGGGAATGTCTTTAACCTTATCAGGTCATATGAAACCTCATTGGTTTCATGCTAAGAGAAACTACATGGAATTTTTTCGAATGCTTATTCAGGTCTTCATTCTCTAACCCATATTAAGTGGGTAAAAGATGTACAAAACCAACTTTAAGAATAAATTCATGTCATCTAAAATAAATTCTCCATAACTACTCCAAAATAACGGTTAAATTAAAAAAATTTGATCATTTACAAAGGAAGACTTTAAAATAATAAATATGTAACTTAAATGCTAACTTGTCCCATACCGGGTTGTGTTACAAAATTTATCCATCATATATGTCTCAACATAGATGCTGAGCTTAAATGGACACATAAGTATTTATGTGTGCCTTTTTCCTTTGTCCAAATTGGAATTTTCTGTCATTGAGATGCATATTATAGTACGCTCATAAAGCTCACTAGTTCATGGTTTGCGTGAATTAAGTCATTACACATCATATATAGTATGCATTTTCTAAAACATATGTACCAAATAGTATGCATTTTCTGAAACACATGCAACACTGAAAGAAAAAAGATATCAAAAACTCTCTGGTCAGCAACGAGTTATTTTGTCATTGGCATTCCCTATGTTGCCCGGCCTACACCTGTCTGGACATCATGACCGGTCCTGCTACTTGTCATGTGACTTACTGGTTACATGTCCACATGTTAAAACTGATCATAAGACTTTCATATGAAACAACTTGCTAGAGTTATTTGAAAAACAAAATAAATACATATAGCATGAAACTGATCATAAATAACATATATGTAAAAAAAATAACTATATCATGCATGTAAAATGAAAAATCATGCATACAAACACATCACTATAAAATCATATAATGCTCAAGAATAAACTTGAACGTCAGTATGCATCTCATTGTAAGTTTCACGAAGACTCATTTGTCTGTGTAGATTGATTATTGGTAGCTCTTGACTGAAAACCAATAACATTACATATCATAATATCCGATTAATTGCTTTATTTCTTCAAAAGTGAATAGTAGTAAACTATGGTCAAACTCGATCTGACCTAAATCAAACTCGATCTGACCTAAAGTCAAACTCTAATATCGGATCTCTTAGGGGCCGTTTACCAAACACTTCTCCAGTAAGTGCTTACTGACAAAAATTAACACTATCATTTACTTACCGGGTAAGATTTGAGTTCATCAAAACAACATCGTATGCAACAGTTTACCCGGTAAGCACTTACCGTGGTAAGAGTCGTTGCCCTCACTTATCGGATAAGACTCTTGGTCCTTGCATCGCTCTTACCGGGTAAGATCTTGATTCTTACCATATTCATCCGGTAATGTAATGTGATTTGGTACACACTTACCCGGATAAGTGTTTGGTAAACAGCCCCTTAATGTCTCAAATATCTCTATTTCATCTCATTATTAAAATAATTGTGGGTCAAACAAGGTAAAATTCAACTCGGTCAACCTCGACTAACTTTAGTCAAATCCCAATTCTAAAACTCGACGATGTCCTAAAATGTCGAAATAATCAATTTATAATCTTATATATCTATTTCTCCGACTTAAATCATCCCAATAAATATTTAACTCAAATTACAACTTTTTTAATCTCATTATTTAATCATCAAAATAATTTAATAAACCTCCAACTAGTATGATAGTATCCTTTGTAACAATTCTCAATGTCGATTTATCCTTTTAACAACTAACAAAAACCTCTCTTATGTATTAAAGTGTCCTATTTATCTTAAATTACGACACCTTAAAACACTTGTTAAATTATTTATTAAAATAAATAAATAATATTTTTTTTTTCAAAAATAAAATAATATATTAATTAAATTGGTACTTACACTAATATATTAATTATTTTGAATTTTAATTACTTAATTAACAGAATCTTTATAACTAAATCTTTTATTAATTTAATTGCTTAAATTAAAATCCAGTACATATTTACCCAATTAAATTAATAAACCTACAGAAAACATTAAACTTTAAAATTTAAACTAATTACATTAGCCCAAAAGATTTAAGAAACTATATGGACTCAAATGTGAAGCCCAACAACTAGACACGACCCAACAGCATGAGGCCCGTCATTTCTGGATCCAAGCTCAGGCCTGATCCGCACCAGAATTCGACACGGTGGCTGCCGATGGCAACGACTTCTTCAGGCCGTTTGGCCTTATTTTTGGTTCGGTTTTGCTATTTTTTTTACTAAACTAAAAAATCCACGGAGTTCGCTCCCAGAAATATAGTCATCCGGAGGATGGAGCGACAGAAGTTTTAAGAATTCAAGCGCTATACGTAGCCTTTCAAAGGTGGTTGCTTCTAGGCAAACATCCTGGCTGTCTCTGCACGCCTACCTCCTTTATCACTGAATGGTCATTTAGGGGTCTTAGCTGGTGATCCGGACTGTTTGACTCTCAACGAAAGCTTATCCCTCATCGTCTCACTGGCCAACCTTTAACCCATGAGAACCATCAAATATTGAGTTTCTCTCATTCTCATTCAAATCTTCAGTTTTCTAACCACTCGATTTTTTTTAAAAACTCAAAATTGGACCTTCAAAACTAAAATCTGAAACATAAGGCTAGTAAGGGTCGATAAGGACTTAAAAACGAAGCTAACAATGGAAGAAACTATCTCCAAATCGAAGAATTCCAAATTTGATCCCTAAAAACCATCGCGGGCGAGTTTGAAAGCGGGTTTAGCCGCAAATGAAGCCACCCGAACTCTGGATGCTCTCGATTCCGGTGGGAAAGGCAAGTTTCAAAGTGGTTGTTGCCGCCTGCCATCCCGCTTGCGATTCTGGATGGAGTCCAATAAGGAGAGAAACCAATTTCCTTTTGGGCTTGGACACAAAGAAAGGGGCTTAAGGAAGGATGCACATAAGTTGGGGCTTTTTGAATATAAATGCAGCCATCCACTATGAATCCGCAAACACAACAAATTTCTTTTAGTATTTCATTTGATGAACAAGAACTTAAAAGTCAAAATACAGACCAGTAAGTGTATTAATTAGCCAGAACAGAGCTTCTCTAAGGCCAAGTTTTCATCCCCATCAACTACTTCCAGAGTGCTCCTAACCAAACCTTCTGGAAACCCCATCTCCACAAGCTTTTGTACCTACACAAAACACGCACGATGCTGTCACGATATCTACTTTTGGATCGTTTAGAAATATAAATAATATTCACAGACCTTCTCTTCAATTCCTAGAGATGATGTTTTCGCAAAGGATTCTGTCCAGTAATGAGCTGTGCTTGCAAAAGTCTGATAGTCTTTAAGATACTGAAATAATCAATACAAAGTGAAAAGAAAAACTAGAGATGTGGTGGATACAATTTTTTGATCATCTAAATTACAGAGGGAAGTTCAGGGAGGAACCCAAAATTGATTAGGAACCCAGGAACCGCCCACAGTATGCCACGTGTTCCTCTTCAAGATGAATATGGAGGTGCGATTCAAGACGAATGACACATTCATGATGAATTTGTTACAACATTAATCAAGTTCATATTCCTTACGAATATGCCACGTGTCGCATTGTGGTCTGTCCCCTGGTTCCTAATCAATTTTAGGTTTCTAAAGGGACCTACCCCTCTAATTACATATCTAAAGATCCCACACCCATGTATGCATATCTATGTATATCATCTTTCCATATACTATAAAAAATGAAACCCCAGAAAAACCAAGACCCAAGAGTGGGAAGTTGGAACTATTGAGCCAAGGTTACAGAACCATGATATAGAATTGAGCGTTGAAAAATCGAATCACTTTATACCAAAATATTCACCAAGGGTGCATTTGGTATGCAGATAGATTTGGACACAACTAGAGGGGCGAGAGTGAGGTAGGATGGTGAAAAAATTGTGCAACATTTTTGGGTTTTGATTTGACATGGGTAGTTTAGTAATTTACCAATTTTGTCTCATCTTCCTCATTTTTGTTCCACCTATTTTGGTGGGTCATAAAAAAGGCTTCTTTCCCACTTAGTATTGTCCAATCCCACTAAGACGTCACACCAAACATGATACAACAAGTTTTTCTTCATACCAAGCATACCCCAAGACATGGTGACACGGTACTCCATGCTTAAATATCGAGAATTTTGCTTTCTCGCCAAAGATGAAAACATGAGCACTAGTTTATACTGTATGGAAAATACTACCAACAAGTTTTATCTTTAATTATAAGACATGTCGATCTTGGATTAGGGAAATGAAAGAAGTGTCAATTCAATGAACGGAAGGTAGCAACTAATGTTGTCTCAGAAATCTGACAGCAAGCTATACCTGTTGTGCTACCACTGCATCTTGAGGATCATTAGGTTGAGGGGCTGAGAGCAAGGCCTGTATAGAAAGAAGTGCTACCTTTAAAGTAAGCGCCGGGCTCCATTGATCCTTCAAAATATCCAAGCATATAGCTCCACTTTGGCTGCTAATGTTTGGGTGCCTTCCACAGGGAATGAGCAAAGAAGGATTACATAAACAAAAAGTTCAACCAATCTTAGAAATATCATAAGCTTTAAAATCCTCATGTACATATAAGCAAACTACTGTACATCCCTATTACATCTGTTCAAGATCAATATCCAATTAAAAAGCTAATCACAGTCTAAAGATTATAAGTTCCACCTATTTTAGTCTCCTGCCCAAAGAAGATCAATGCATATTCTTTCCAGTACCCTATTATACATCCCAATAAAGGGTTTATGTGTAATTTTTCGTCGAGTATGACATTATTTGCAATTACTGTCCCAATCAGATTGCATAGGAAAGTATAGATTTTGTTAACTGACCCCTTGAAGAGGTACATCAAAATAAAAAGGGGTATAGATTAAAGAAGTTTCCATATATACGTGAAACAGAGATGATCATAGAAAATGCGCGAGACATATGTTTCTGAATGCATAACGTAAGAAGATAAAAGCAAATGTTAGACCTCTGCTATTATGTGAAACACCCCCAAGAAACTAAGCCACTACCTCGACACCAAAAAGTTGTAGATGCTTTTCAAAAGGGTGACATTTTGTGTCAACCATGCTATGTCTTTCTCTCTCTCTAGAAAACAACAAAAACGAACACAGATACAATTACCAAATAGAAACACGATATCTAACATGTCGTAATCAGAAAATTTTGAAGGATGGTGTTATCTACTACTTCTTAAAGTGACTGTCCTGGTACCACCTGAACCTACAAGCTATCATCTTTCAACATTATCTAACCCCCAACATAAGTAAAGAAGGACAAAAAGTAAACCCTTAAACTGCTGCATTCGTTGATATATGCTTAAAACATGGGGTCTTCATGGAAACAACCGTTTTACACTTTGGGGTAGAAATTCGGTAGGTACATCCAACCCCCCCCCCCAAAAGCCCCACTTCTGGGTAGGATATACTTGTTGGTTTGGTTTTTGGTTTATGCTTAAAACCATACCTTATTTAAACAAGTTCTTTACTGTTTATGTAACCATCTATGATATTCAGTTAATAGCAATTCCTTGCCATATTTGAGAACAAAATGAAGCAACATGTCTGCTACTAGCATTTCCAGATCTTCCTATAAAACATTCATGCGACAAAACTGAGGTTCCGGTACGAAATAAAAGGAAGGCACAAAGTTTTGTGATTCTCCTTTTCATTTCTCAATTAGGATAACGAATTATGTATTTTCAACCAGCAAATAACCTCACGTGTTCACATTAGATACAAGGCCAGAATACGTTGCAGTTTTCTCCACTCCACAACTCTACATATACAACGAACTGGACATTCTGCACGCCCGCCTCAGCTTACTTAAATTTGGCTATCAAACTTCAAAAAAAAAAAAAGGAAGACACTTTAAAGTTTAAACACAATTGCAAAAAGTCCCTGCATGCCTAGAAACAATATGGTCTTTCTAGTTTCTACAATGTGCCCAAAGAACCAATAGAATAGCTAAGATGACAAATTTCACATATATAAACATACATACCAAACTTTAGTTGCAAATTTCATTCTTGGTGGCTCGAAAGGGTATCCATCTGCAATTGAAAGGAAATTGTAGAACACAAATCAACTGAATTAACCTTATGCCAAAAAATAAACAGTTTTGATCATAAAGCCTGAGTCAGTTATGCCATAACTAATACGCTATTTCTCATGCTAATAACCAATACGCCATTACCGATGATTTCAAGCACTATTGATAGTTCAATACGCCATTACCAATACGTCATCCAGCTTCAAAGCAAAATTTTATCAATCACGATATTCCTTTATAAACAACTCAACGCATGTCGTCTCTTTTCAAACAGTATTGTAATTGAAATAACAAACGTCCTAATTCCTACACTCGATCGAAAACCCAAAAATTGAGTTGCATTACATATTCATATAAAATAAATACCGGGCAAATCGATATCAATCTTGAAGGTTCCGCCTTCGTATGGAGTACCAATTGGACCGGGAATTGTGCCGATCAAACTGGTGAGATTGTCGGATTTAGGGTTTACGCTGATACCAGAGACATTAATGTCCTTGTTACATTCTTGAAGCTCCTTTTGCACTCTACCAAAGTCCACCATCTTCTTCTCAATTCGGATTCGGAGAAAGGGAAACAATTTACGCCGGTTTTGATCTCTTCCCCCTTAAAATACACACACACAGACACCTTTGAGTTTCTCTATTTAGGGTTTACGAATATACCTTTGTTGATTGTTTCGATGGTAGGGGAAAGAAAGCAATAGGAGTACCCCCAAAATGCAAAGGCCTGTGGGTCCTTTCCAATTTTGATCGGATCATATGATTTTTGAGATTAAAAATAATAAATAAATAAAGAATTATTTTAATTCATTTATTTTTTGTTTCGATTTAAATTTTCCGTAAACGCAAAAAATACTGTAAAATGTTCAAATGTTCCTATATCTCCGGCATGGAGATTCGTAGAGATCTCGACACGAAACTTGTGGTTTCAGTTGAATTCATGTCGATCCATTTGTATAGATCATTTGTGATTGTTGTTCGATTTTGTTGTAAATAAAGTTGTATTTATCTGAATTTCAAACTGATATTGTTTTCTTGGCATTAAAGTGATAGATGAAAAACAAAGAGGTTGGATATATGAAACACGTTCATCGTAGTTGATGATGGACTATACAACCCTCATCCCGTAGGAAGTAGGAAATCAAATTATAGCATGGCTGATGATTTGGTTATTATGTATGTATGTATGTATGTATGTATGTATGTATGTGTGTATGTCTAAGCTTGCAATATCTGATCGTGGATAAATTACAACATCTAATTATCGTAATATTGTTTATTCTACAAGAGTTGTAAGACTGATGTGTCGGTGAGGACGTTGGGCTCTCAAAAGGGTGGATTGTAAGATCCCACATTGATTGGTTGTGTTGATTTGAATTCAAAGCCACATTGAACAGTAATTTTCAATGTTATCCTCTAAATAAAAGCATTCGTTAGTTAGCAGTTATTTTGTATTTCAAGTATTTGGCAGGTTCTTGTGAGTCGTGATGGCCCTAAGGCCTCATTAATCAACATCCATTATGACAAGTGATGTCTTAAGTAGACGATATGTAAGACTTATTATTGGATCAGATTTGTGAAAATTACTCATTATTAGTACAGAGGATCCATATTAGGCGGTTAAACATCAATTATAATGTGAAATTGTTGCAAATTAAATGAAATTCAAGCTTAAATTCATGTTAATTTTTGTGAATGCAAACGGGGTCATGGATCGGGTTCTCGGGTTGATAATAAGCCATTCAGTTCATTGTTTAATGGATCAAGACTATTGGGCTGTGATTAATGAACTAAGCTTTTATTGGGCCTTATGCTTTTGTCTCTGGGCCGAAAACGCATATGTTGTGCAATGTTGGGCCATATGCTTTATACCCCTACGATTTCAAGATAAAAGCTTTAGGCCCTTAAAATTTCAAGAATTATTCTTTAGGCCCATTAAATTTCAGGATTCTAAGAGAGCATTTGGTTTGGAGAATGATTTATGAAGTAATGCAATCTGTCAAATAAATTGGAATTTGGAATCGATTTGAAATGTAATATTATCAGGTTTGACCATGTGTTAGTTGACAAAAATGAAATTTAATATGTCTAATGAATTGGAATCTGTTTGTTTAGTTTGCAACAAAATAAGATGCAAATTGTTTTTTATAATTTACATCACAAGACCTTAGTAACTGATGGTTAACACATTATCTGTTGAAAGTAATTGTGTGTTGCTAACTATACATTTTTGTGAGTTACATCATAAACCATCAATTAAGATAATTAATGTTATTAATTAATAAAATAATCAATGAGATAATTATAATTATTTATTAAATAAAAATCAATACATTTTTAAAGGATTTCATACATATCTCTCTCTCTCTCTCTCTCTCTCTCACACACACACTATATATCACAATGGGTATCACATTGTGTATCTTTGTGATTACTTGGTACCTACCAGATTTTTGTTCACCGGAGGCCGAAGATTGGAGGTCGGAGAGATGAGAGAGGAGAGAGAAGAGAGGATAGAAGAGTTTTTTAAAAATACCTAAAATGCCCTTTAATTATAATTTTAACTAAAACTACCATAATTATTAATTTCCTAATTTATCTGTTGATTTGTGGTTGAGATTGGATCTTACAGTTACCACAAACTAATCAGTTCTCATTTGATTAAGCCCCTATGCATACATACATATATATAAAACTCCAACTTGAAGTAATCTAAAACCTAAAATTTGGGGCTTAGTTTCCATATTAAAATTAGATCGGGTTTTTGATTTGGCAGTCGAACCCGTCCGATAGGACCGATACACACCCCTAATTTGAGCGTAATAAAATCCTCCAACAAAAAATAATGACTTATTTGGAGAAATTGCAGTAGAATATAACAAACTTTGTAATCCTTTGGATTATATGTAACAATAACCCAACATCATCATTTATTATAATGGAATCTTTTAAAATCATCGATTAACATAACAAACTTTTTAATTAGAGGTCCATTAGGCATTAATGTAACACGTTTTGAACATGATCGTCAATTTACAATAGTTGATGATTTTGATTTTCAATTAAATAATTATTCATCTTACATAAATTGGTCTCCTACCCAGTCCTTTGTCTGATTTACCCACATATTACTACCTTCATAAGTGGCACCTCCTCCACATGCGGACCTAACTAAAAGACAATATATATATATATATATATATATATATATATTCAAATTCAACCCAAGTGAGCAAGTGGTATCGTTGCAATTGCAGACTTGGGTTGAATTTGATTTTCTGTCTTTTAGCTAGGTCCGCAAGTGAGGAGGCGCTATTTATGAAATTGGGTAAATCATAGAGATAAAATGGTTAAGAGATCAATTCATGAGAGAGAAATGACAATTTTATACCAATATCCCTAAAAACAATGTCATTTCACTTACAAGGTAAGACTCTTGATCTTGGTATTGCCTTGCCTCTTACCGGATAAGATTATTGGTCATTGCTACGCTTACCCAGTAATGTAAGTGATTTGGTGAGCGATTAGTAAATGACCCCTTAGTTGGCATATATATGACGTCTTGATTATTGACGTTCTGTATGGGCAGAGCCACCCTTGGGCCTACGGTGAGCCCAAAGCCACTCTCAAATTTGGAACCGTGTATTAAATGCTTACTATGTTTTTACCTTATCGGATGAATATGACAAAAATTGAAAATCTTATCAGATAAGAACAATGACAATAAATCGAGGGTCTTACTTGGTAAGTGAGAGTGACGATTCTTACCAAGTAAATGTTTGCTTACCAGATAAAAATATTTCATATGATATCATTTTAATAGATTCTATCTTACCAATAAGTTAAAAGAAAATGTTACAATCTTACCGATTAGTAAAAAATTATATAACCCAATTCGAAGCCCCACCCCGTAAAGGGGTCTCATGTTCTTTAAATTTAATTTGTTAAATTTATTATATAATTTATAAATACTAATTAGTAAATTTTCATGGAATTTTTATGCATGTGTATTAAATTTAATATTTGGGAAAATGTTTATAGATTATATTTTCTTTAAAATTAGTTATATTTTAATGTAGTTTTATAACACTGTAATTAATATTATTAGAAATTTTAAAAAAAAATTGTTTCAAGTCCTAAAACGATAATTTTGATAATTATTTTTCGGGTCTGTTTATTAATAACTTAATGAAGCTAACAACTTATACCGTCAATTTTTAGAGGGAAACTTTATGTAGAAAGCCAATTAAAAAACATGTTCATTCCGACTAAAAAAATCATCTGAAACAAAAATATTTCTAATCTACACAGATAATCCACATAAACAGCTTTATCCATACATGACTTGATAAAAAACCAACTACACAAACTTTTAATGTCATATTTTAACTAGAAGAGTACTCGCGCAATGCAGCGAGACATATCTTGATTTTAATGTTCTATTTTATTATTTGTCTCTGTCGATGGTATAATACAATTTTATGTGTTTTTAAGAAAACAATAATAATTTTATTTTTGAATAAAATATAAATTTGAAAATATCGTAAAAATTTGAAAAAAAAAAATATATCAATGTTAATATCAAATCAACTATTTAAAATTTCTCATTTTTTATGTAATTTCTTTAATTTATTTTTTTATTATAATTTAATTTAA